GTTGCTAGAAAATTTGTAAATAGTTATTTTTGGCACTTGGATTTTAAAGCTCATGTAGGGAAACTACTCTATTGGCTTGAATAGAGACCGTTCCCTTTGCTCTTAAAATGAGATTATTTCACTATTAAAGCTTTGAACTACACTAAAACTTTTGGGACACCTGTATAAGGGTAGGGACTATGTCTTATTCTCCTTCTCCTCCCTTACAGCATAATACTTTGTGTATTCTGGTAAGTCAGGAAATACTTGTTGAATAGAAACTGAATTGACTTAAAATATAAAGTTAAAGAAGTAATATTGTATTGGCAGTAGACATAGTATTCAACCTGGCAAATAACCAACTAATGGTCCAATTTCAAAAAGTATCACTTACACATAAGAACAGGATTACACTTAGAATAAATTGGGGGCGGGGGAATGTCTGTGAATGAGTTGACTGGTCAGTGAATGGTGAAATCCTTTATTAGTTTGATTTTCTGAGTATAAAATCCGTTTCAATCATCTACATTTTACCAAATACCTTCATTGGAGTTTGAACAAATTAACAAAGCAGGGACAGTAGTACATCTCTCATTTAATTTTGAAACCTGAAGAGGGGCTTGAATAAGGCTCCATGGACGAGGTATTCATGGATCAGAAGTCAACAGGTGAAAAGATGAAAGGGAGAGAGGACATGCCAGGCATAGGCAACACACTGAGCAAAAGCCTGGAGAATACAGTGCTTGTTCACAGGGCAGACAGTCGTCCTGTTTGACTGGGGGAGAGGCAACTTAATTTATCTTTCTAATGATGTTATAGAAATGACAGCTCAAAGTGAACCTTAGTAGTCACTTAGTCCAGTCCCCTCGTCTACAGCTGAGAAAATTGAGGCCAAGGTAGAAGGAAGGACTTAGGTGAAGTTGCACAAGACGCAAGCTGACATGGAAACCCAGGCCTGGTTGTAATTCTAAAGTTTTTCCCCTAGTTTTTCCATTGGAAGCCAGATGCTGGCCAAGAAGGGAGCATGGTAATTCGAACACTTCATCTACACACACACACACACACACACACACACACACACACACAATTTATTGATTAAGATGGTGCCTAGATTCACTTGAAATCATCATTTCCCAAAGATTCAACTTGCTAGCCATATCTGATACTTGAGAATGAAGACTGCCAGAGGGAGATGTTTTACAAGTCAGTAGACAGGGTTTGAGTGCTTTCCTGTAATGTTTTATTCTTCCTAGAACGTGAGTATTTTAGTTTATTTAAGTCAGTATTCTGCAGGGGTTTTTTTGAGTAGACTAATGAAATTTAATCTCATTTTTATGAATTTTTTTTCTATTCAAAGAGAAGTTTTTAAAAAAATGAGACAAGAAGGAATTGATCATTATTATGGAACTACATCTAAAAGGTCACTTTAGGCAAATACAGTATTATTAATTTGCATATACAGTACCCCTTTTGACATCCCTAGGTTTTTAGCTGTTGGAGAACTTGTGGTTATAATGTCAAGATAGCATGGGTTTTATTGTGTCTTTTCTTTTTAATTAGGATATGAAAGCTATCTCAAGATGAATATTGACCCTAAGAAACTTGTAATGGGTGTTCCCTGGTATGGCTATGATTATCATTGCCTGAATTTATCTGAGGTAAGACCACTTTGTTTCATATCAATTCCAGGTTATTCTCCTTTCTATTCTCATATTATCTACCTTTTCTGTGTGCTTTCTTTCACAAAAAGTAAATAAAACTTATTAATTTATTTATTTTTAGTTTTCAATATTCACTTCCAGAAGATTTTGAGTTTTAAATTTTCTCTACCTCCCTTCCTTCCCCCCTCCCCAAGATGGCATGCAATCTGATATAGGCTGTACAGATACATTCATATTAAACATATTTTCACATTAGTCATGTTGTAGAGAATTAGAACCAATGGGAGGAATCACGAGAAAGAAGAAACAAAAAAAAAGGAGCAAATAGTATGCTTCGATCTACATTCAGACTCCATAGTTCTTTCTCTGGATTCCACATATGGTTTTAAGCGGAGTAGCTTGAGTTTCTAGAGGACAGATCATGGCATGATAGATTTTTTAAAAATCGACTGCACAAGGAGAAGGTGGGAGGAGGCAGATTTAGACAGCTGAACTGAGAGAGAAAGCTGGGGGTTTTTTTGATGGACTGCAAGGGCAGTGGGAGTGCACAGTGTGATATGACTGCCAAATAAAACTAACTGCTCGTGTATTACATTAAGGGCGACAGAGATCCAGGAATAAGAAGATGATGGTCCCATTGTATCCTGCCCTGTTCAAACCACATCTGAGAGAATTTGTTCAGTTCTGGACACTAGGAAGTTTAGGAAAGATATGGCTAAGCTGGAGGGCATCCAACGTGGAGGGCAACTAAGATCAATTAGTCAGTCACTCAACATTTATTAAGCACCTACGATGTGCTGGGCATTGTGCTAAGCACTGAGGAGACCACCTCTCCCCCCACAAAAAGGCAAAAAGAGCTTTCAGTTCCCTTGATATAAGGATTGGTTGAAGGATCTGGAGTCATTTGACCCAGAGAAGACTCGGAGGGGCTATGTGAGTTGTTTCAGTTCTGTGAAGAGTAGTCATGTGAAAGAGAGGGTATACTGGTTCTGCTTGGTCCCCAAGGAGGGAGCAGATTTAGGTAATTCTCCGTAAGTGACATGGGCCCTTGGAATCTACTCATTTTCATTTTAGGGGAAAAAAAGCTTAATTTCACAATTACACCTATCCCGAGCATCAGTATTAATCAGATTTCCAAGCTTATCTTTCTGGGAATTTGTACTTAGTTCAGAGTAATTGACGCTCAAGTTCTTGCTTGTCACCAGGATCATGTCTGCACTCTTCCCAAAGTGCCTTTCCGTGGGGCACCATGTAGTGATGCTGCAGGCCGCCAGGTGACCTATAAGGCCATCATGGATCAAGTGAATAGTTCCATTTCTGGAAGCCAGTGGAATACCCAACAGCAGGCTCCGTATTATAACTACAAGGTAAGACATTTTAAGTCAATATATATTATTTATTGTAGTGTGTATTCATGTAAGAACTTACTAGATATTTCATACACTAAAATAACTGATGTAAATTATTTTAGTGTATGAAATATGATGTCTATCTTCCTTAAAGACACTGGAATCCCAACCCTGGGCAAAAGAGGACTTTCAGTTTCCTGCTTAGTAATTCAAGCTATTTGAAAGTTGCATAATTTTATGATATTCACCATTTTAAACGATGATCAAAAATTCACAGATCTTAGCAGCAGTTACTAGCCTTTTTTAATTGGCATAAAGTTGGCTATATTTTGAAAGAACTGTTTCCATTAAATTCCTTGTAAGTTGTTGTTTTAACCCTTTGATCCCATACTGTGCTTTTGTTTCACAATGTCAAATAGCTTCTGAGTTTCATCTTGAATGTTGGTCAGATTCAAAGGAAGATGAACCAAAGTTTTGGTTCTTAATCTGCAGAATTAATTAAGCCTTTGCCTTTCAGCCATAAATTCTGCATATTGATTTATGACCTAATATATAAAATATATATTTGCATATAAACATATGGGAATAAATATAATTTATATAAATATATAAGTATTTATAAATACATTTAAATAAATGAAATTTCTATATTAATAAATATTTATATGTAAAGCACATACATATATGATTTTGTGATTTCTGAGATTTTTAATCCTTAATATAAAGTATGAAATAATTAGAGATAAATACAATCCAAAATATGATGAAGTGATGCTACTTTTTCTTTTAACCATGCCAAAACTCACACATCCGAGTTCATATTGTCCTCCAGCTATAGAAGGCTGTATTCCTGTGCTACTACAGACATCCAAAACATTTTGGGAACACTTTTTTTAAAAAATTGCTTTTGAAGACACTTTACTAGTTACTCACCACACCCTCCTCCACAAAACAAACAAATAAACAAACAACTAGTGGTCTCATTTTCCAATCAAAACCATTCTTTCTTGGTCTACTACATTCTCTGCATCCTTTACTTTCACCCTTAGCAATAACCTTCCGCTGCCACACATAGTTGAGCCCGCAGCCTGAGAAGCTCTGCTGGTGCTGGAAGGAGCTAAGACAGCCTAGTAGGGGCTGTCTGAACTGAGGAAGGAGCCCCAGAGCCCCCAGTGAGGGGAACAGGGAAAAGGAGGGGAAAATATGGGGGACAAACTGATTAATAAGCTCCTTTATGGACCATATGTAATAAACTTAGGGGTAATTGGCTGTAAGTTTCAATGAATGCCCATTAACAGTGGTATGGAAAATGACAGAACCACAAAATAACAGAGCCTGTGGTAGTGGTGCCTTCTCTTTTTGGATTTAAGAAATTGTGTTTGGGTTTTTTTCTGTGACTTTATTTTGGTGTTCTGTATTTCCGTATTTGTGTAGGATGCTGATGGCCATTTTCATCAGGTGTGGTATGACAACCCGAAGAGCATTTCTTTAAAGGCGGCATTCGTAAGGGATCATGGCTTAAGGGGCATTGGGATGTGGAATGGGAACTGTCTTGACTACTCTGGGGATGAAGTAGCCAAACAGCAAACTAAAGACATGTGGAGGGCCTTACAGGTAAATGGGTAAAGGAGTAACTAAAAAATGCTGCTCAAAATACACAATTCAGGTCATTCTGTTTGTAGCTATACATCTTATTTCTGGAAAAAATAAATAATTTGTTAACATTTTCTTTCCAAATAGTTCTATTCTGTTCTGAAGCATCTTGATATCTGGTGTACTGATAGAACCAACTGGATTGTCAGCTTAATGCTTTTAAGTTGAATTCCAAACATATATTTTGATCATTTAAGAAACACAAAAGTTGAGAGATGAGTCTATCTTTCAGTATGAAATAATCTTCTTTATTTTGTAAGATGTTTTATCTGTCACTTAATAAACCAGTATTTTCATAATTTTATTATGTTCATGTCTTTTTGTCCATGATATTAGCATCTATGCTTACATATTTATAAACTATGCAGAAAGCTCTAAAACTTTTGTAAAGGGAAACCTAGTTTGCTTAGGACAGATTTTTTTAAAAAATGCCTATTCTCTGAAAAGCAATTCACTCTGTAATTTTATTTGTCCAACAAACCTAATATTAAAATTAATATAGAATGTCTTCTCCTTAGGGCCAATGCATTGTTAAAGGGAGAATGGGATATTGGTTCAGTGATTTCTTCTCTCAAAGTAGCACCTCAGTGCTTTTTGCTTCATCCCAACCTCTAGACTCTAGACTCTAAGATAAAAGATATAGAGTTGGCCCAGATAATTTTAAAAAAAGATAATCTTTTAAACTAGTATGGTGGTGGTACCTAAATTTTCAGCTAAATTATGCTTTTGAGACAGATATTTTCAAGAAGAATTTTATTATTATTAAATTTACTATAGGGATAACTTAGTGGATAATCTGATATTATTCTTATGCTATTCTTGATGAAACAATTCTCCTAAGATCCTTTTCTGTGCATCTGTAATTTATTCATTGACAACCTTATTGCTAAGTTGTTTGTTTTAAATTTACAATATTTTCCCACATTGGGATTTTGCTTCTAATTTTAACCTCATGACGTTAGTTTATGAACTAATATTTCTCTTTCTAAAACACAGTAGTTTAATATTTAGAATTTTCCTAACCCTTTAGCCAGGTTTCAATTCAGAACCCTCTGCTTTTTCAATATGGCAAATTGTAAAGACAACAGCATTATGTTAAATTATTATTTTCATTTTGATAGCACTGGCTGTATAACTGTCTAGGGACATTATAAACCTGTTCCTATGAACCCTGGACTCATACAAATCTAGTCTTTCTTAACTGTTTTTCCTGTTAATCAGAATAAAAGCAGGCAAAATTTGACCATCCTTTCTAGGTCTAGGGCATATAGCAGAATGCCTGGAACATCCAGTCAAAAGGATGATGTTTCATAGTCTATTTTGAATTACTGATGGTTTCTATGCTTCTAAAATATGTTAATAAGACACTTCTTAGATACTCATCCCAGGAGTTTCCTCTTGAGTGCTCCAAATGGTAAACTCAATTTCCTCAGTCTTAGATTCTTAGGCGGCTGTTTAGTTAAAATAAAATATTTATTATTCTTTTAATTATCAAGGTTACATAAAAAAAAAATCAATGTAGCCTTTTGTACCAAGACATGGTGGTTTGCTAAAACTAATAAATGGACCTTTGTTCTTAACTCCTAGATGAATTATCTTAAACCCAGCAATTGAATACTGAAATACTTTACTGTGAAATGAAGTCCAGTCATCTTGAAATACTCAAAAATAACTAAATAATGCCCTGAACAAATTACTTGGCTTTTCACTGCTCTCTCTCTCTTTTTCTCTCTTTCTTCCTTTCTCTCTCTCTTTCTTTCTTTCTTTTTACCAAAGCTACTCTCAAAGTTCATCTTCCAACTTGTGGAGGGGGTGTGATCTGTCTTAGTGGAAGGAGTACCCACTCTGACAAAATCACAGATCCTCAAAGTATTGAAGAAGTATACTGTGCTTAACATTTCCTGAGTCACTTTATAAACTCAATATGAAAATGGAATAGAGACACAAGGCTTATAAAGAAACATTGGCAAGAACAATGGATGGACAGTCTTCAAATAAGTCTAAATATTTTGAAAAATAAGACAGTTCCAAGTAAATACATTTGACTAGGAGCTTAAAGATGCTTTCGTTTTCTTCTGTTCCAGTTCCATTTTTAATGTTCGTATGTCTGAAATTGCTTGTTTTCTCATCTGCAAAAAGAATTGGAAAATGTAAAGGAAGTCTCCCAGATGAGATCTGGGTTGAAATGATTTTAAGCACCTTTCAAAGATTAATTAAATCTCACATTGGCATTCTGAAGGTACTCACAATAATCATGCAGTACAGTAGCTACCATAATTAAGCAGCAGTCCCAGTGGCCTTCTGTGTTCTCATCCCCTAACACCATTGTCCCCTGTCTACTGCCTTTAACTTCCAGGGGACAAAAACTAGGTGGTCGAACAGCAAAATTTTACTATGATATTCATAGCTAGTTCTTAGGCTTCACATAGCATACCAAAATAATAATACATTTTGCTAAAAAAAGAAAAAAATTCTTTATTACAATGAAAGACCAGATACCAATTTTTTATGTTCTCTGCTCAAATTTCAAAATGAGATTTCACTAAAGGACACTACTTTAATAATAATAATGAATAACCAATATTTAGATAGGGCTTTAAGGTTGGCAGAGTGATTTACATATATTATCTCCTGCCCATTTAACATACCAGAAGGTGAAGATTTGTCATTGGAACACACATTGAAATAAATACCAATTAAGTCCTATTTGAATGCCTTATCTTGCCATAGAAGTGGCATTCCCCACGGCCATGTCAGTAGATGAGAAGCTTGGGCATGTACCACCATGTTGGAAAGAGTTTAAGTGTGGGCTTAAAAGGTGAATAACTGACTATTGTCCAAGGACCATCCTTACACAGTTTAGAAACCAGTTGCCAGGTTGGCCACAAAATAATCAAATTTTTGCCCTCAATAAGTCCTGAAAGCCATGGAGGAGCTCTGATCTCCACTGTGGAGGGAATATCCACACCAGTGAAACCAATATAGTATTAAGGTAATACAATGTTACTTAAAATTAGATACAATACCTTTATGGTGTGGGTGGTGCAAGGATCTTTATAAAGAAATTTCTTGATAAATCAATTTGGATAATGGCTCACAATTATTTAAACTTTGAGGTTTCCAAAGTACTTTGCTCGTAATCTCCCCATGAGGTAGATAGTAGAAGTAGTATCCCAATTTTAAAGATCAAGAAACTGATGCTCATGGTGGTTGTGACTTGTCCTTAAGTGTGGCAGTGTTCTATAGTAGATGAGTGGTAGACTTATTGGAAAGTATCCTTACTACCTGTGTGACCATGTGTGAGTCACTTAAACTTTCTGAGTCTCAGTTTCTTCATCTGTAAAATGCAGATAATACAAGTATTACTTAGTTCACAAGGTGATTCTGAAGCTCAAATGAAAATATTATTTTGTAAATTTTAAAGCACTATATGTTTATTGTTATTATTGTTATTTGGTCATTCTGTTGAGTAAAGATCAGCCTAGAACTGAACCCAGGCCTTTTGACTCTAGGATCAGTGCCCTCTTCCATACCACATTGCATTTCATAATATTACAGGCCAGATATTTACAATTTTAACTTTATCTTCCCTGAATGATCGCACTGGTCACTGGTTGACAGACATATAATTGATTTGACCATATCAATTAGTACTGATTATAAGGAAAGACCAATGGTCGGATACAATGTCCTTATATAGAGAGGATCTAAAAAAAAAAAAAGATTTTTTTTCTTCTATAGTCCAGTTATATGCTGGTGCATTTATAAATCAGGAATGTACTGGTTTGGGGTAGCATCAAAAACAGACAAAAGTATATAATTGTATCCTCATGCTTGGGGGTAGCTGGGCAGAGCCATGGATAGAGCACCAGGTCTGGAATCTGGAAGACCTGAGTTCAGGTCAGGCCTCAGACATTTACTAGCGCTGTGACCCTGGGCATTCGAATCACTTAACCCTGTTTGCCTCAGTTTCCTTATCTGTCAAATGAGCTGGAGAAGGAAGTGGCAAACCATTCCAGGATCTTTGTCAAGAAAACTCCAAATGGGGTCATGAAGACTCAGATTTGACTGAACGACTGAACGACAAACACATTCTTAGTCCCTCTTGTTTTAATATTAAGCATTTTAATTCTTTGTAAAATGGTAAACTGAATATACTATATGTGATAATTTTGTATTAGCAAGAATATTTGCTTAAGCTAGAATGCTGCGTTTCACATTTATACTAGTTGACAGGAGCATCTTATGATGATGTTTTAGTTACATGTTAATCACATGTACTCAAAGTAGGTCTAAAATCTCACTTGGCAAAGTTTCCCATTAACCTTTTTCTAGCCTAGAGCATGTTACACACTTAAAAGTAGTAGAACTGCATTTCTTTGAGAAAAAAAAAGTGTTCTATAACTCGGAAGTTTCACTGATTAAGATGGATTTTCTGCCTCAGTCTATGCTAAACAGTGAACATTGACAGCTGGACTTTAATCTTTTTTGGCCAAGTAGGACTATTTAAATAATCTAACACCCAGATTCAGCAGTTTTTTGTTTGTTGGGAAGAGTTAATTTTGCTGGATCACAAAATAATCAACCCTAAGTATCCTCTTATAATACAAGTGTAAAAATATTTTAAGAAATAATTTATATGATGAAAACAAAATTACCTTAATTTCTATCATGAGTTTCATTTTGTCAGTGTCCAGTTTTCTCTTCAGTTGGTCAATTGCATGCTGTACTTCAGTGATCTGGATTATGAGACTATTCTGTGAAATAGACGAGAACACACATTTTTACTTATCCCAGAATCACTGAATTTAGAGCTAGGAGGGCACCTTCAGAGTCATTCAGTCCAACCTTCCTCATTTACAGGTGAAGACAGGTTTAGCGATATCAAATGATTTGTCCAACATGCAGGTACAACCTATCTATAAGATTTTTACTTCTTTATAATTAATTGCTATAATCCTTGACAACCCCTTATGATGCTCTGTTGTCTCTGATTTTGGAATACTTCCATATGTCCCACAGAACTGTTCACTTCTTTCTTTTTTCTTGCTTTGTTGCCAAAGTTAGACTATATCCTCAAAATAAATTGCATCTAAATTAATATTTGGGGTCATTTTTCAGGTTCATTTCCATTTTAGACATGTAACATTTGATGTGATGTGATGTGATATACAAGTGGAAATGTCTACTAAGCCCTTGAAAATATGTGACTGGCAGAAGCAAACACTTCTGAGGAGGGACAGGGTCAAAAGAGAGAATAGAATAAACAGGGGGAGGGATAGGATGAAGGGAAATATAGTTAGTTTCTACAGCATGACTACTATGGAAGTATTTTGCATGTGTAACCTGTATCAAGTTGCTTGCCTTCTCAATGAGGGTGAATGGGGAGAGAGGAAGGGAGAAAATTTGGAACACAAAGTTTTAAAAACAAATGTTAAAAATTGTTTTCACATGCAACTGGGAAATAAGATATACAGGCAATGGGGTATAGAAATCTATCCTGCCCTATAGGAAAATAGAAGGGGAAGGGAGTAAGAGAAGATGGGGGGGTGGAAATAGAAGGGAGGGCAGATTAGGGGAACGGGTATTCAGAAAGCATGCTGTCTTGGGGTTAGAAGAGGGACGAGATGAGGAGAAAATCAGGAACTCAAAATCTTGTGGAAGTGTATGTTGAAAACTAAAAATAAATAAATTAATAGAAAATATATGATTGGAATTCAGAGAAAGTTCAGTTCTTGATGTCTAGATTTGGAAATTGTCCACACAGATGGAAGCTGAAGTTAGGAGAGTTGATGAGTTCTTACAAGGAGAACAGGGTCAAGGATTGAGACTGGTGGAACCCCGACATTTAGGTGATAGGAGAAGGAGCCAGTGAGGAAATGGTAATGTGTTGGGAAAAAAAGTTTAAGAAGACGTGGATGATGAAGGTATCAAATGCTCCAGAGGAAGATCCAAAAGAATAAAGACTAGGAAAAGGTCATTTTATTTAGCAAGTTAGGGAGTCACTGACCTCTCTGAGAAAAATTTCAGGTGCAGGGACATAAGCCATATTCAATATAAATTGCTAATTATGAATCTTGTTGCTTCAGAAGGCAGAGGCCTGAGGTAAAATGATTAATAAAGCAACTATGAAGCATCCTAACTGTTACAGCTTTTCACAGGGGTAAATAGAGGATCTAAGCTATTGCTTAGTACCCTCAACAATTCCCTAAGACTGTAAGTTACAGATAAATTGTTAACCTACATCCATGGTGGGCATTTCCACACCAGAGTATTTCCTATGTAGATGAAATCACAAAGCCCAACCGAAAAAATAACCCAAACTGTAAGACATATGTAGCCATGAACTCTATGTCTCCAGCTCTCTGTATAATTCGGATTTTCAATACTGAATCAAGCAGTTGAATACAAAATGATAAGGATTCTTTTGATTAGGTCAAACTAGTAGGTGAGTCAAAGTCATCAGACTTCATTGTTAGGGCAGGAAGTCATCTGTTTTAAAGGGGAAAAGATCTATGAGGAAAATTGAGTAGAAATGTATGCTAAACTCTCTTAGGCAATTATATCTGTGCGTTTCTGTTCAAATTATGGGAATATAATAACCAAGGCATCACAACCGACCTGATGGTTATGTATTCTGATCTCAGGTGATGCATCTAGAAGGAAATCGATTCCTAAGTTCTGACCTTGCAAACCCAGATTATAAAAATATGACGAGTGGAAGTGTGCAGAAGTGAACAGAAAGCTGGTCTTAGAGTCAGGAGGACCTGAATTCTAGTTCTGCCTCTGACATATACTAGTGTTGATCCAGGCAAGTCCTTTAACTTCTCAGTGAACGACTATATTGCAGAAAAGCAATCCACTAGTATTAGGTTTCCTCATCAAGGTGTTCTCTACACCAATAAAATTGGTATTACCAAAAGGTATTACCTTTTTTTTACAGCAACCAAAGGACCCACCAAAATTCATTGTTCCACAAGAGAAAATATGATTGTTCTGGTTCAAACTAATCAAAGTCAACAAATATTAATTAAGCATCTACTACATGCGGGTCACTGTGAAAATTCTGAAGACACAAGAGAAAAAAATGATACAATCACTGGAGGGCCTCCATTCTACGGGTGGAGTATAAGTGCCAAATCCCCTAGAAGTGATTTGAGGAGGTAGAGGGCGCTTTTAGCTGGGGTAAACAAGGAAGGCTTCACACAGGAGATATTATATGAGTTGAGCCTGAAGGAAAAGAGGTTTCAACAGGCAGAGATAGGAGGGAACAAAGCCCAGGAATAAGGTATGGCCCTTGTGAATGCACAGAGATGGGAGAAGATATCGTCAGTCAGCCTGGAACCTTGCAGATGAATGGAAGGAATGTGACCTAAGACTGTAAAGGCAGAGTGGGGCTACATTATGATAGCCCAAAACACCAGACTAAGGAGTCTGTATTTTATTCCATGGACAAGAGGGAGGCCTGGAAGGTCCTTGGCCAGGAGTGAAAGAGTTGTGCCTGAGCCCTAGGAAATGACTGGTGGCTGTGTTAAACCAGTATCACAGGGGCAGAGTGATAAAGCTCCTAACTGTTTTTAAAGGTGGGGGGGTGGCAATAAGTTTTAGGGACCATTACCCCCTTGATTCTACCGCTTTTTCTCCCATACACAAGATTCCTCCTCAGTGTGCAGGCCCTGCACCAAGGAAGGTGGCTGGAGCCCATTCAGCAAAGGCATGAGCAGGCACTGATAAGGATCAGCACGTTGGGGAAGGAAAACAGGTTGAGCCAAAAGTGTGAGCTCCCTGATGAGGCAAGTTGTGGGGCCTGATCAGCCAGCTCTGTTTCATGCCTCTACATGAGTGACTTCTGAACATTAGTTGGCTTCTAATCCCAACTTTCTGCTTGGGTTCATTTGTTTATTTATTAGTTAATTAATTCATTTGTTTATTACACTTATCTTGTATTTCCTGGAAAGGATCTTTGCCTGTCTTAAACCTAACTCTGTGTTACTGTTCTAGACTTTGAGTGCTAAGACAGTAAATGTGCCCAGCTCGTGATACCTTGTTAATTCTCAAAGGGACTTACACCATCCAACCCAGATGAAATTGCCATCTGAGACTAGTATTTCTGGCTATTGATCTTGGACCACCTGGATAAACTATAGTCCACAGCATTCATTAAACTATTTAATGGAGGATGTAACTGGTAGACATCTGCTGTGAGGAATGAATGGAAAGTGGCCTTACAGACAGAAGAGAGGTAGTCTGGCCTTTGACTCATCCACTTTGGACTGTGCAATCCTCTCACCACCTTGCAGTAATTTATAAGTACCAAACATGTTCATCCGGAATGTCATGGTTTATCCAAAGACATCTTAACATACAAGTTGAAGCCTGGAAAGCATGTGTAATTTTTCAAGGAAGTATGAAGCTGCCACAGGAAGACCATTTTAAAGCCAAACTAGAAAAATACCACTTCCAACAGAATCAATTAGGGATTCTTTGGGCAAATTGTGCTAAGAGATGGAGCTGCAGAAACCCTAATCTTAAGCAGGAGTACTGACCAACAAATCACAGAATCACAGAGTTAGAAGGTACTTTGGAGGTCTTCTAAACCCTCTTCTCCCTGAACAAAAATTGATTCTATAATATAGTTGATAAGTGATCAATCAGCCTTTGATTGATATCCTTCACTTCTGAATACTACTACCTCCTAAGGCAAGTCATTTTTGCTTTTAGATAACCCTAAATTGTTAGGAAGCTGTACATCAGGCCTAAATATGCCTCTCAGCAATTTCCAGTCAACTCAACAAAATTTTATTAAGTGCCTACAATGTGCATGGTGTTTTGCTCAATGCCAGAGATTTTGTTGTTCAGTCATGTCTGACTCTGTGGCTCCCTGGACCATGGCATGCCAGGCCCTTCTATCCTCCACTATCTCTTGGAGTCTATCCAAGCTTATGTTCTTGCTTCCATGACACTATCCATCCATCTCATCCTCTGCCATACCCTTCTCCTTTTGCCTTCAATCTTTCACAACATTGAGATCTTTTCCAGTGAGTCTCATCTTCTCATTATGTGGCCAAAGTATTTAAGCTTTAGCTTCAGTATTTGACCTTCCAGTGAATAGTCTCAATTAATTTCTGTAAGTATTGACTGATTTGATCTCTTTGTTGTCCAAGGACTCTCAAAAGTCTTTTCCAGCACCATAATTCAAAAGCATTGATTCTGCAGCACTCAGCTTCCCTCATAGTCCAATTCTCTCACCCATACATTGCTACTGGAAAAAGCATCCTTTTGACTATACAGACCTTTGTCAACAAGGTCATGTCTCTGCTTTTTAGTATGTTGTCCAGATTTGCCAACAGCTTTCCTTTCAAGTTGCAAGCATCTTTTTATTTAATGGCTGCAGTCACCATCTGAAGTGATATTTGAGCCCAAGAATGTAAAATCTGATACTACTTCCATTTTTCTCCCTCTATTTATCAGGAAGTGATGGGACCAGTTGCCATGATCTTAAGATTTTTTTGGGTTTTTTTAAAATTTTTTTTATATTAAGTTTCAAACCATAGATACAAAGATAAAAACAAAACAATTCCTCCCATCAAGGAGCTTGTAACCTACTAGAATTCTGCTTCCCACATATTGCTCATTTCCACATATTGTTGCTCTCTAGGGCCAAAAATAACAAGTCTGTTCTCTCTGCCACATGACATCTCTTCAAATACATGAAGACAGGGAGCATGTCCCCCCTAAATCTTCTCTACTATACATTAAATACCCCTAGTTGTTTCAACTGATTCTCATCCTGCACAATGTCAAGGCTTGGTCACCTTTATGTGGATGCTCCAAACTTTTGAATGACCTCCCTAAAATATAATAATCATAATTGAACACAATAATGTCACAACCATGCCTGGCTTTTCTCTCCATCTCTATCACAAACTCTAGGATGGAGTGGCCATGGTCACTTCTTTCCAAGGTTCCCATCATTTCTACTGTGTCAGTTCTTCCAGAATAGAAGTTCCCCTCATCTATTCCTCTATCTTTCAAAGGAGGATCTTATTTTTAAGGAAACTGAGAAGGTTTTAGCTGCTCTGTGTTGGCCAGAGATCCAGTAGGTGTCCAGGAAACCGAAGCCCCAATTCCCTACTATAACATATCTCCATCTTAGGCTTTTAGTTTAATTTAGTTGTTTGTTGTGTTTTTTTTTCAAACTCACCTAATGACCACCTTCCTTATCTTGAGATTTTTTTCAAGTTCTAATTATGCCCCACCCACCCACATGCTTACAATAATTTAACCTCCTTCACTGTTAGGCTCCAAACTGAGGAAGACCCAATGTTCTGAGCACGATCAATTTATTGACAAAGCATAAATTTGCCAATAAACAGGGTCTCAGCCCTCTCAGAAAAGCAAAGACCCTGAATGAGGAAGCCAACTCTCTTTCACAGACAAAAGGAGAAGTGTTCAGAGTAGAAGGCAGCATCAGAGATGGGGAAAACAGTATGATTGATTCAAAGCTTATAGTGTCATAGGCATGAGAAACAATATGATTGACTGGAAATTGGAGATGTGGAGCTAGTTACAACTCCTGTCACTAAGAAATGTCCATTCTTTGAGTCCACCTAGGAGGACAGTTTAGTGATAATGGACCAGACTCCTGGCATCCACCTGCATCCTTCAAGGATAATAGATTTCCTTGAGGCAAGAATAGAACAGTGATTAGCAGGAGACCTGAATTTCTAAGTTTAACTCAGAGACAATGAGTGATTTATAGGAAAGCTGAATTTCCAAACTCAACTCTGTGACAAATGAAACATGACTTAGGCAGTCATAAAAATGTCATCAGTGATATAGAATAAAATCAATAACAAAATAGAATCAATTTGATTTTCCCAATTTTCATCACTAAGAAGACTGAGGCCACCCAATATGAACTCCAGGCATTTTCACTTGCCTGGAATTCATATTGGCTGGAATCCTTTCCCTCTTCATCTCTTCCTCCTGGCTTCCTCTTAACTCTCAACTAAAATCCCATTTTCTACAACAAGCCTTTCCTGATCCCCTTTAAAATTAGTCTCTTCTCTCTGTTGATTATTTCCAAAGTATCTTGTATCTACCTTGTTTTCAAGTAGTTGTTTTCATGTTATCTTCTCCATTACACTGTGAGTGCTTTGAACGCAGGAAATGTTTTCTGCCTTTCTTTGTATTTCCAGCACTTGGCATGAGTGGGTACTTAATAAATGCTTATTGACTGGCTGGCTTCAACTCCCCTCCACCATTCTTCAAAATACTTTTGTATCACTTGATATCCAATACTGAAAACTTTGGTGTTGTCTTTGACTCTGCTCTCCCTCACTTCTCCAATTGTCAAGTCTGGTGGAGTGTATCTCCAAATTATCTCTCATATCTATCTTCTCTCTTCCCACTGCCAATTCTCTAGTCTAGGTCCTCATTACCAAACATCAGGAGTATTCTGATAATAACTACTATAATAATAAAGCTTCCATTTCTACCCTTTCCTCCTCTAATTTGTCCTTTGTCCTGTACTAATCACCCTTATGCATAGTTCTAATGTTACTTTTGTACTGAAAAAAAATCACTGGTTCTTTAATAACTACTAAGTAAAATTCAGATTCCTTTATTTGGCATTCAAGGCCTTGCACAATCTAACATTCCCCAGTCTTTTCCGTCTTACTTCATGACACTCTTTTTCCTAATACTATATGCTGCAGCCAAACCATGCTGCTTTTTCTGTCTGCCAACCATTCCCTGGACTTTCCCTGTGCCTGAAATGTTCTGTTCCTCTTTTTAGCCTGTTGAATTTATACATATCTTTTAAAACCCAACTCAAATGCCACCTCCCCCATGAATTCTTCCCTGGTCCTCCCTGTTATATAACAATCTTTCTCTCTACATCTCAGTACTATTTCTTTATGCCTTTTTAATAAATGTATCATGTATTATTGTTATTAATACATGTATTAAAGTTATGCTAGACTATAAACTCCACAAGGACATACCCTGGTTCTGTATCTTACCCCTGGTATTAAGCATAGTTTTTTGCCTGTAGTAAGTGCAAAATCAGTGTTATGTTGGATTAAAATGAATTCCTTGCTTGTAAGTCAAGGATAGATCTTGGTTTGTGTCCCTATCTCAGAGTGGAATGGGCACTTTGGGAAGATAGTAGGTGCCCTTCTCTTGATCTTTAAGTAAAGCTTAACGATCTGTTTTTAGATATGTAGCAGAAGATGTCTTTGTTCAGGTGAAAGCTGGAATAGGTAGCAACTGAAGTCCCTTTCAAGTCTGAGGCACTGTGACTCTGTTAAGAGTCTGTGAAACCTTAGTAATGGTTCTGAATAGCAAATCTGGCAATGGATACAGGGAAGCAATGGAAAGACTAAAGACATAAATTCACAAAGAAGGTGATAGGATTTTTTTTAAGGATCCCAGCTGGTTGACCACAGGCCTAACTCGATTCCTCAGATAGCATTAAGATATAATAGAGTTTCTGGTGTGACAACTCCAGAACCAAACTTTATATTTGGGGTTGGTTATAATCTGCCAAGACAAATTATATTGTCACAAGTAAAAGAGCCCCAATGTATTCCTACTCTCTTCCCCACCTGCCCATTCCACTCTGGGATAGGTCAAAGCATTGGGAAATTTTTCTTGACATCAATCCTAAAATTTGCTCCTTGGACCTTTCATCTGTCGCTCCTAGTTCTCCCCCTTTGGGTCAAGCAGAACAAGTCTGTTTCTCATAAAGCAGTGTTATGGTCAGTGGAGTAAATGAATATAAATGAATAGCTCACACTGCAGAGCAGTTTAAGATTGGCAAAGTCCATCATATCTGGCACACAGGTGGTACTTAACAAATTCTTTTGATGACAATAGCCTGGTGGAATAAAGTAAGAAATCACTAATGAGGGAGACAAACTAAGATCTATTCTTGACTTACAGAGAAGGAATTCATTTCAATTCAACAAATATTTATTAAAAATTCATTCAATCCTGGGAATATGTGTAAAGAAAACACATGTCCACAAGCAGAGTCTTGCTAAAAATGTTTACTCTTACTGTTGTCAATAATCATTATGAAAGAGGATAAAGACATCATACCATAACCTCCAATCTACTAAGAGTCAAAAATTCCATTTAATGGAATTATAGATTGAGCTAAGTTAAAAGTAACATTCAAAAATCAATTTAAAATGTGGTATGATCATATTACAGATGTGTCCCCAAACAGGAATATTAGCAGTTCCATTGCACATACCCTTAAAAATTCATCTAAAATAGAAAAATTACGAAAGGGGCATAACTTATTATACCTTTGAGTCTTCAATGTTTGCCAGATTCTTTGGCCGCATCTTGATCTCCCTAGCTTCTAGCTGCATGAGCAATTTTTTATAATAAAGTTCTAAATCTTCTTGAAGTTTAGTTAAAACTTCTTCCAATGAACCTGTGATTTTCTTGGTTTCAAAATACTTTTTCTTCCAAGCTTCCTGGGCTATGAATAAAAGCAAAGTTGGTATTCAACTAATCATAGAATCACATACTTTTAGAGCTTAACAGTTCAATTAAGGAACTTATTGATAATTAGAACAGTTGATCCCCTTCATGTTACAGATGAGGAAACTGACATACATAAAGTTTAAGTGATTTGTCCGTGGTCACACACTAGCAAAGCTAGGACTAGAATCCAAGACTTCTGACTGAATCCTATGCTCATTTACTTATGTTATACAATCCTTTCTGGAAATCACTAATAGCCAATACTAAAAATGATAATTATATTAAAAATTCTTTTATACTGATTCTTTTTCATAAGATAGTTTGAGGTCATTATCTATTTATCTTATCCCATGAAAGTAAAAGATGTGATATCCCATTTCAGATGATTTTCCAGTAGAGTTCATCATGGCTGACTGGCTGTGTCTGTATTAGTCAATGAATTATCTTTTTGGGAGCTAGATCTTCTGCCTCGTTAATGGCCTATTTTTGTGAAATTAACTGATTTGGTACTATAGTTTATCTAAGAGACTTGTTAAAAGTTAAAACCACCATGATGAGTATTGGGGGGAGGTACATTTTATCATTGTATAAACATTGTTGAAGTAGATGGATATTTATATTTCGAAGAGGCTATTATATTCTTTTTTTCCCGTTTATCTTCCATTTACTTTCTCACCAAGACTTAGTCATTTGGATCCTAGTAATAGCACTTTATGTAGTATTATACCTGAATGACTATTTGTTAAGGAATTGCCATTTTGACATATAATAAGAACTTAGGGAAATACTGTTGCTGATTTTACATACATGATTTGTGTTCCTGGGAGACTTGGTGCTAAATCATTCACATAGGACGAGCTTCTAGATACGTAGGAGCAGCTATCTCGCTACAATCTACTGAAAGTAAGTCTTTGACAAAAATTTTCTTTTTCTTAAATTTTTGAGAGGTAGGGTAGTATAGTGAATAGAGAGTTGACCTCGGAATCAGCCAGGCATGAGTTCACCTCCTTCTTCTGTGATCATGGGCAATTTAACCTCTCTCAGGGACCCAGGCAACTTTTAAAGACTATAAGAGTTGGCAGTCTAGACCAGTGGAGTAGTTTGCACATCAGGAGTTCCAAAGAAATCACAGTCCCAGACCCTACCTACCCCTGCCATTTTGAAAATGTCATTTCATCTTTTTAAGAACCTCTGTGAGTTTGTAACAGGGAGCTATATATCCAAATTTTACAGAAAGGAAAAATGTTATAAAACATAACTTGTTTAAAGTCACATAACTATTTGGGAATTTTGAACCATATCTTAAATGTTCTGTGAGCTGAATTACACGAAGTGGTCTACTGGAAAATAGGTTTAGATTAAGATGTTATACTATCTACCACAATAATCTCCAAATAGATACTTGACATATATAAAATGTCATATCATAAAATATATATGAAACAATATATAATATATATATGTGTGTATATACATGTTGTGTGTATATATATATATATATGTACAGAGAGAGGAGAAAAAAGGAAGGTAAATTTCAAAACTATATGGTTAAGGGAATCATTCTTAACTAAACATGGGATGGTGGTAAATAAAGAAAATGGACAATTTTGATTACATAAAATTGAAGAGTCTTATGGGAACATAATACAACTAGAATTTTAAAAAGGTCAGTTAATTGGGAAAAATCAAATGGTATGTATCTCTGATAAAGTTCTGATACTACGTATGTGTGTCCTTGATACAAATACATACAAAAACCAAAAGTACTACCCCCCCAAAAAATGGTCAAAGAATATCAACAGGCAGTTTACAAAAGAAGAAATGCAAGCTATCCACAAAAAAAAAATGGCTCCAAATTACGAATAAATGAAGACTCTCAGATTTCTCCTCATCCCCATCAGATGGGCAAAAGAAGAAAATGTCTAATTTTGGAGGGGCTTTGGGATGACAGGCATACTAATTCACTGTGCATTGAACTGTGAGTTGGTCAAACTGTTTAGGAAAACAATTTGGAATTCTATCTGAAAACTCACTAACTGTATCATACCCTTTAAACCAGCAATACCCCTGAAAAGCCTGAAAGACCCCTGAAAGAGGTCAAAAACAGAGGCAGAGGGTCCATATATACAAAAACATTTAAAATAGCACTTTTCTGTGGTAGCAAAGCATTAGAAACAAAATGGATGCCCATCAATTAGATGATGGCCCGAACAAATAATGATGAATGAAGGTGATTCAACATTACTGTGCTGTAAGAAATGACAAATGTGAAAAATCCAGAGAACTTTAGGAAGATTTGCATGAACTGATGTAGATTTAAGTTAGCAGCACCAGGAGGACAATTCACACAATGATGACAATAATGTACTGGAAAAACAACTTGAAAGACTTCAGAGCTCTAATCAATGCAGTGACCAATCATGGCTTCAGAAAACTTAGGATAAAGTATGTGTCCCATGTGCCAGCAAGAACTAGAGGAATATATTAAAGGTGCCAAGTAAGTCCTATGCTTTCAGACATGGCAATATGATATGTTTGTCTGACTATACTGTATTTTTTATAAGGGTGGACTATATTGGGGCAGAGGGAAGCTATGAGAAAAAAAATTCAAGAGAATTAATAAAGCAAAAAAATTTGTAAGGAACAAGGCAATATTTTACTACCTTGTTAAATTTAATATACACTTTTAAAAATAAACTGTGAGAGCAGATGTTTATAGCTTCACGTACATCCTTCCCTCACCACCTCTTGTTTGTGTTTTCAAATGTTTCTGTTTATAGATGATTAAGTTTATAATAAAAATCACCAAGGAGTTCTGTGTTTTTTTCCGCTAGATCTTTAGTGACTTAAACAAAACTGTTAAATTTCCATGTGAAAATATAAATCCTAAGAAAAATATTCACCATCCTAACCTGAGTGGAAATCTCAGTTTAAGGCTGATATTTGTTGAATAGCCTTTCCTTCTTAAAGTAGTAGAATGAAGCAGATTTATAGAATTCTAGAACCAGAAAGGACCTTTGAGATTATCTATTATACTCATCATAGGTGAGGCAAATAAGACCCCTAAGGTAAAATGATTTGTCCAGTGCTGTAAAACTGACAAAAGTGAGGCTATGAATACAATTCAATAAATGTTTGAGGGGTTTTTGTTGTTGTTATTGTTGTTGTTTTGGAGTTGTTGGGGTTTTTTTTGTAGTGGACACTATGTGCAAGGGTAGTGTGAGAGACACTGGGGCTATAAAGACAACATTTACAGTCCCTACCCTCAGGGAGCTTACATTCTACTGGTGTCTAGACTCACGTCCAGTCACATGCAGCTGGTGGCACAGTGGATAGAACACTGGGCTTGGAATCAGCAAGATCTGAGTTCAAATTCAACCTCAGACACTTAGTAGCTGCATGACCCTGGGGAACTCACTTAACCTCCGTTTGCCTCAGTTCCCTCAACTATAAAAGGTGGAAAATAATAGCATCTGCCTCCCAGGATCAAGTGACGTAATGGTTGCAAAGTACTTAGCATAGTGCCTGACATATAATATAGTACATGCTACATCAATGTTAGCTACCCATATGTGTATACATACATATACATATACATGTGCATGTATGCATATATGTGTGTGTGTATATGTATGTATGTATGTATGTATGTATGTATGTATGTATGTATGTATTAGGTAGCTTTATTTCAAAGAGGAATTTTTGAAGACTTTCAGATCTGGAAAGGATCTCAGCAGCCAATTCATCCAATCCATGCCTGAAAAAGAGTCCCCATTAAAAACTACATGATAGGGAGTCATCCAGTTATGGCGGGAGTTAGGAAAATCTCCCACCTCCCAAGGCAGCCAGGCTCACTTTGGGATTGTTCTAGAGGTTAGGTATGCTAACCTAAATTGGCCTCTTTGACATTCTTCCCGTTCGTCCCACCCCCACGCCAGGGGATCCTGTCGTGCATGTCCTCTTCCAGAGGACAGCCCTTCAAATACTTGAGAGCTGCCGTATCTCTTCTTAGTCATCTCCTAATACTTTCATCCAGTCCTCATGGGGGATGAATTTGAGGTCATCCTCTGAATATTCTCCAGCTTATCATCTCCAGCTTATCAATGTCCTTTATATACTGTGGTGTCCAGAACTCAACCAAGTTCAGGTGTGGTCTGACCAGGACAGAGCAGGGACAAAACCCTTATTCTTGAAAGCTACACCTCTCAATTTAGTCAAACACTGGATTACCTTTGGGGCTCGCAAAGCCCACTGTTGATCATATTGATCTTGCAGCTCAGTAAAACATCCAGATCTTTTTTTTTAAACAACAAATTGTCTGACCATGTTTACTCCACCTTCTACCTGTAAAGTTAATTTTTTGAACCCATCCCTATTCCATTTCACATTCTGAGATCTAGTCTGTCAAGTTGTGTTTGGATTCTGATTCTATCTTCCAGGGTGTTCGCGTGCTCACAGAGGGGTGTCATCTCCACCTTTGACAGGGATGCCATCTGTGCACCTGTGTCTAAATCACTGATAATGTCACATGGCAGAGACCAAGCGAAGACGCCTGGGGTGTAAGATTAGGGACATTCTTGCCTAAAGTCACACAGAAAACAACTTTGCTGTCTTACCTCATCCAATAGAAAACACAAGACCAAAGGCTCCTAAAGCAGTACGTTTTCTTGGGAAAAATTCCATTTTGAGGGCATTAGATTTTTGCATGTCACTCCCTGATGATAGCTACGATATCTCCATATAACAAGTTTTTCATACTTTTAAAAATAAGATGAAGGATTACATCTGAATATTTATCACTAGACTGTGGTTTGAATCTGGATTCATACACCATTACGATGTGACATTATTTTATTTTGACTCTGTATTATCTGTTGGAAGGTCACTGATAGAATGATATTACAAAATATGAACATCAAATTTAAATTAGACCCCTGTAGAACACAGTGATGGGGGCAGAGGGGTAGTTCTAAACTTCACTAGGTACAACTGTTTTAATCTTACACTAAGTGCTATAATACTAAAAAATGAAACACTAACTATAATTATATTTATTTTAACAGTGTAAGCTTTCAATATTTTGCTTATATAGTTATAAGACATCTGATAAGCTATACCACGGTATCTTTTCAGTTTGCTTTGTTCAAATAAAGTTTTAACTTTTTTCAACAGTTCTTCTTTCGTCTCTTCCAAATGACCTCTTTCTTCCTTTACTTGCTTCATTTGTTGCATAATCTTGAATCCTAAGGAAGTATAAACCACATTCATAAATATCTGGAAGCTAAATATCTGGGCAAAGTCTTCCACAATTAGAAAAACAAACCAAACTTTGACAGTTATTTTCTTTGTGACTGTAAAGTATTTATTTACCTCCATGGCAAATGTTTCCTCTCAGGTTCTAAACATGATACACAGAAAATAATACACAAAAGGAAGATGGGAACTGTCCAAATGAAGTACATTTGCATTCATAGTATTTATAAAGCATGTATACTAAAAATACAATCAAATTCTCTTCTTTAAAATGTATATATGCAACTACAGATGCAGTCACATATCAAATAATGAGTCTCAATAGCAAGTGGCCATGCTTAAATTTTTGAAGTGACTTACTTGAATAATTCTTGGGGTGGAAAATATCAGATTTTAACTAAATAAGGAAAATCAGGTTTTGCATCCATTTTTAACATTGCAACATTATAAACTAATAATTAACAGGTCATTTCTTTGAGCTTCATTTCTTAGAGTCACTTACATGATGGAATCTCACTTACTCTCATTTTGTAAGACAGAGGATTCAAGTATTCCTGGAGCAAAAGCTAGGAGTGGTAGTGAAGGAGGAGCAGAAGGGCCTGGAGGCTTGTTGTCATACTCTTCGTCACCTGACTGTAACAAAACAAAATGCACAGCAGGGATCCTTGTTGAAATATTTGTCGACAGAAAAAATTACTCATTAACAAATTACCCAAGGTGCTATTCAGACACAAAATCTTGGTAGTACTGCCCAGCATTAAGTAGTTACGGCACGGACCTAAGCAGCAAGTAAGTGTAGGCAATGCAGACAGCACCCCAGAACACTGGTGATCCACTTGGCTTTCAAAGCGTGTACCTGAAGAAAAATATGTTTTGAATAAACAGAGTTAAGTGGAGTTGTGTGATAGTCGTTAGCCTCTTTGTGATGGTATTGAAACAGGATCCAGAGTGCCGATACGTGTAAAGTGTCAGAGAAGAGGCAAAACAGCCTGACACCCCAGCCTGCATTGCATGTGCACCCCCAAGAACCTGCTTCTCACCACATCTTTGTGCCAGTTGTCCAGATCCAAAAGTGTTGTCAAGGGTGGCAATGCTGGCTGTAAATACTCCAAATGGATATGTTTTTTCTTTTAGATTATTGCTCTCTTACACGAAGCAAATACATCGAAGCCAACTGCTTTACTTCAAAATCACAGAATCAAAGAAACTTTGGAAGGGTTGACATTTGCTGTTATAAGGAATTCAAAATAAATCACTGTTGCAAATATTCCAAAAAATTGTCCCAGTTTCTACAAACATTCCCCAAAATAAGTTGCCTCGTTGGACAATGTGTATTAACTGATGACTGTGCCAATTAATATCATGCATTGATTTTTTTATGAGCTTGACAAATATTACTGCACATGGTAATTTACACGTATGAACAAAAAATATATATATAATGAAACCTTCTACCTCAATCAGAGCTCTCCTAAGAAAAGGCCTAGGAGCAAAGTAGGGTTAAAGCTGCTCTCTAGGGCAGGTGATATAATAACTGAATACAGAGAGAAAGAATTGCCTGCTATTTCCCTTGGTAATCTTTGGATTGGAAAGGACAGGGCAAAAATGCAAATAGGCAGATGCAATTGCTGAGCTATTGTCAGAATGAGGAGAATGGAAGGTGGACACAAAGAAGTAAATAAGAAAAAGTCATACATGTTCCAGCATTCCTGGAATAATGATAACTGAAGGAATAAAGAGGACAGACCTACTTAACTCCTATTTTTCTTCTGTTTTTTCCTCGACTAAAGATAATGATCTTTTGAATGAAAAAAAAAAGAACAAAAGTAGGTACAAAAAAGTTTATAATTAATCAAGAAGCATTTCTTAAGCATCTATCATGTATCAGTCACTGCACTAAGCTCTGGAGATACAAAGACAAAATGGAACAGTCTCTTCCCTCAAAGAGCTTACAGTCTGCTGGGGGAGACATGTCCACGTACATATAAAATAAATAAACTGAATACACAGTAATTGAGAAGGAAAGGCAGACCCAGTCAAGATGAACAAGAAAGATAGGTAGAAAGTAACCATGAGGTGACTTCTAAAGGAAAGTTAAGGTTTCTAAATAGGAGGGGGTGAGGTTAGAGTGCATTGAAGGCACTGGGAACAGTTCACTGGGGAGCTAGAAGGTAGTGTTGTGTATAAAGAATAGCAAAAGGGAAGTCTGGATGGACAATAGTGGGAAGGTGAGTGATGTATGAGAAGGCCTGAAAGGCAGGTTCATAGCAGCCTCTGGAGGGCTCTAAGTGCCAAGCAGATGAGTTGTACTCGGTCTCAAGAGTCAGTGGGGGCCATGGTAGTTTACTGAGTAGCTGAGTGACAACACTGTAGTTTACTGGGTAGCTGAATGACAAGTTCAGATGTATACTTAAGGAAAGTCACTTAAGCAGATTTTGAGGGATGGACTGGAAAAAGAGACAGACCAGAGGAAGAGAGACAGATTAGGAGATAAAGTAAAGGGATAGTTAAGATATTACTTAACTGACTTTAGTCATAATTACCTGGTCTAGATGAACTAAAACAACCCACCAAAGCCTAACCCATCCCCCATGGTGGAGGGGTAGGGGTGGAAGGAGATGACAAAGCAGAGGAATGACAACCAGGGTGATGCACAACAGGGACTTTGTGGGCCCAAAGACTGCTATAGTCATGAATGACTTTCCAGAATCCTGAAACACAGGTGAACTGAGCTCTGGGCAAAATCACTGACTGGGATAGCACTTCAGGCAATGTGATGCAACTGCTCTCAAAAGTCACAGAAACAGTTTGGGAAGCATAGGGTTGCAGACTAGCCCTCATCAGAACCACTGTGAACCTGCTCTGCACGGAGAATAGTGGAGTGTGCTCCTTCTGGTTCTCCTCCACAAGGCAAGATACACTAGAACACACCAGAGATAGCAATACTCCACCTGCTGGACACCACAAGTGAACACAAAGTGGACTGAAGGTTTGAACCCTTTAATTATACATCAGTCCTCTATCATAACAAACCTGAAACTGGATCTTACTAGATATTGGCAAGGGCTTCATATGGCTTTTTGTAAATGGCACCCTCAGTTCCAAGTTAGACCTTCAACTAATGTAGGGCAATCCTAAGAATTAACTTCAGCCCTAAACCCAGATTAGGTTAAATAAGAACTGAAATTGAACAGTTATTAAAATCTGAAGAGGGAAAAGTTGAGGAACTTAATGTCATTGAAAACACAAACTACAGAAATTCTAATAATGGAAAGGATGGCAAAAATAATACTCATGACTCAAATGATTTTCAAGAGGAGAGGGGCAGACTAAGGCTAAAATTTCTTAGAGTCCCCTTTGAGTTTTATAGAATCCAACTAATAGACAATTATACCAGAACAAGTAATTTAAAAAGCTGCCATCTGCTATAACTATAATGAATGAACTCATTCTCCCACAATATTTGACAAAAGTATAAAAACATTTCATAACCTATACATAACGGATATGCAGCAGCTGTTGCCATAATAAGAACCATAAGAAGAAAGGTGAAGCTATCAAGGAATACTCCTAAGGACAGGTACCAAACACCACCATGGCAGGAGAAGCTTGAGAAAGCTGCTGAAGACCTGTGGGAAGATATTGGGAAGACTGAATCAATATCTACCTGTTGAACACAACAGAAAACTTGAATGCCATATTGCCCAATTAATGGCAACAAAAAATGTGGAACAGAATTCAGAAAACAAAGTATATCAGAAACTCTAGATTCCTCTAACTAGATTGAAAGCAAAAGCCAAAAAGGTGAGATAATACAAATAGTGCAAAGAACAAATTAAATAATTTAAGTTAAATGAAGACTAAGAAGAGGACCTAGGATTCAATAGTTAATAGATCACTGGAAACTTTGGAGAAAGTGATTTAAATTGAGTGAATAATTTCAGAAGCCAGATTGCAAGGGACTGAGAAGAAAGTGAGTTAAGAGGAAGCAGGGGCACAGTATAGATAGATAGTTTGTAGGGTATTTTCCCCTGGGTGTGGAGAGAGAGAGAGAGAGAGAGAGAGAGAGAGAGAGAGAGAGAGAGAGAGAGAGAGAGAGAGAGAGAGAATAATTGTGGAGGGTTTAGCCTCGGTGAGAAGAAAGGCCACTTCTTCAGAGACTAAAATAAAGGAATAGAGCATGGGGGGGTGATATTAAGGATTTTTTGAGATGACAAGTAACAGAGAGGAGGGAACCCACAACAAATGGTCTCTTTTTTTTCTCAATAATGAGATTTCTGACCAAGAGGGTCAGGGAAGGATCATAGGATCAGAGAAAGAGATTTTGAAGGGACCTTAAAGGTCATCTTGTCTAACTCCATCATTTTTATAGCTGAGGAAATTGAGGCCTAGACACGTTATATGACTTACACAATATCACACAGGCAGGTTTGAAACCCAGCTCCTCTGACTTCAAGAGAGGACAGAAGGTTGGCAATAGCCTATGCAGAAATTGCAACATGAAGTCGACTAAAGAAGAGTGAAGGGACTGCCTTCTAGTGTTACGTACACAAATGTCTGTAGTGAACCTAGTCAATACTAAGGTGTGATTGCCTCCCATGCTGTTCAGCAGCACTGTGAGTTGGAGAAGAGGAGGCAGATGATGGTAATAATTCTGGTTTGGGGCTTGGTAAGTCATGAGTACTTATGGGACAAGAGGGCAGAGGGTAAGAGCAGAGAAAAGTGTAATATTAAACTGCTAGTAACAGAGTGAAGCTTAGGAAGAGGGAGCCAAGTGCCAGAGCAAGGGTGACAACCTGGGAGAGAACTGGGGAGTGAGGCAGGGCCTGGAAGTCATGGGAAGAATGAAAAACCAGTTTGGGATGAGTGAGGGAAGATGAAATGATGGGATTTACAAAACAACTAGAAGACACAAAATGGGAAGAACATTATACAATGACACACTTTGTTATTATAAGCAACAGTTCTGGCCCCTGAGAAGAGGAAATGCACTTCCCTTATGTTGATGTATTAGGAGACTATGAGTGAAGAATGGTGAGTACACTTTAAGATGCTATCATTGTGGGTTGTTTTTTTAAACTGAGCTGTATTTTTTGGCTACAAGGAGGGGCTTACACAGAGTAATGGCTGGGAGAAAGATATCTGAAAATGCTTGTGACATTAAAAAAAGCATCAGTAAAAACTTATTTTTATTTTTAAAAAAATCATGGGGAACAGGAGAATTATTGTTAGATTGGATTCCAAGATTCAAAAGAGAGAAGATAATGGAGTCTGTAAATTATAGGCTAGTGCACTTAACTTGGATACCTGGAAAAATTACAGAATGTATTACGAAAGGCATGCTTAGTTTCCATTGAGAAAAGGAAGCCATAATCACAAAGAGGCAACATAGTTTTGTCAAGAAAAGAGCATGCCACATTGCCTCATTTCCCTTTTTGCCAGGACTAATAGAAAGAGATTAGAGGAATGCCACAGAAATAATTAACCAAGATCTTAGTGAAAGATCTGACAAAATCTCTCATGCTATTTTTGTGGAAGAGATTGAGAGGTGTGGGCTAATAATGATGATGATGATGCCTGGCATTTATTCAGCACCTTAAGGTTTTCAGAGCACTTTATCTATGCAATTACTA